AAACAAACAAACAAACAAACAAAGAAACAAACAATATGTACCCTGTACTCCGCTACGATGTCTATCTGGAGTTCCACCATGTGCCACTCGTCTCCCTGATCGCCCGACTTTGTCCACATAGGCACCGAGGGTAAGGCCTGGTCCATCTCTATGTACATGTTTAACGTGCCCATCGAGCTGCCATACATGTGGTACCAGAAGGTAAGGCACATGGTGGAGTCAGAGGGACGAACAAACGTGCTGTAAAGAAGAGCCCTGGCCCCTAGGTCGTTGCCTGTTGCCTCCGTGTATACGTACGTTCCACTTATGCCTACGAGAGGAGGAGTAGTGAACATTATGTTTACCTTCGCAGAAGGAAATAAAACGTATTGTTTTTGCTCTGTTTCTTCTTCTTCTTTTTCTCCAAACATATAAAGTTAATGACCTGAACCAGACGTCTGTTACTATGGTAACTGGTGCTGTAATAGACTGTGTGGTGTTGGGTAACATTAGGTGTTACTGGTTCACTGTGTACTGAAGGTAGGTGTTACTGCCTCACTGTGTACTGAAGCTAGGTGTTACTGGCTCACTGTGCACTGAAGCTAGGTCTTACTGGTTCACAGTGCACTGAAGCTAGGTATTACTGGTTTACTGTGCACTGAAGCTAGGTGTTACTGGTTCACTGTGCACTGAAGCTAGGTGTTACTGCTACACTGTCTGTGCACTGAAGCTGAGGTGTAACTGTTTCACTGTGTACTGAAGCTAGGTGTTACCGGTTCACTGTGTACTGAAGCTAGGTGTTACCGGTTCACTGTACATTGAAGCTAGGTGTTACCGGTTCACTGTACATTGAAGCTAGGTGTTACTGGTTCACTGTGCACTGAAGGTAGGTGTTACTGATTCACTGTGTACTGAAGCTAGGTGTTACTGGCTCACTGTGCACTGAAGCTAGGTCTTACTGGTTCACAGTGCACTGAAGCTAGGTATTACTGGTTTACTGTGCACTGAAGCTAGGTGTTACTGGTTCACTGTGCACTGAAACTAGGTGTTACTGCTTCACTGTCTGTGCACTGAAGCTGAGGTGTAACTGTTTCACTGTGTACTGAAACTAGGTGTTACTGCTTCACTGTCTGTGCACTGAAGCTGAGGTGTAACTGTTTCACTGTGTACTGAAGCTAGGTGTTACCGGTTCACTGTACATTGAAGCTAGGTGTTACCGGTTCACTGTGCACAAACGTGTTAAACACGTGGTTTTTGATAGATAGCCTGGTGAAATCATTTAAGGACAAGTGACTTACTTTCGAGCGTGTGATCAAACGAGGGTCCTGTGCCAGTAGAGGAGGTTGCTCCCTGCTTACGTTCCCATTCGAAGTCATCCAATGGGCTTTGCACCCACAAACAAAAGCTATCCTCAAAAGTACAATCTAATATGTCGTACGCTGGAAAAGGAAATAGTAATTCAATACCTAATAGTATGTATACTTGTCTACATCTCTATCTATATATGTACACATCTACATGTATAGCTAGACACACACAAACACACATGCACGTCACTCGGTGAACAATGAATTATAGTTTAGACGAGGTATTAAAGAGGCCATCTACATCAGGCAGGGTGTTGCAGCCATCCGTCAACAAAGACGGGGGGCGCTACAGACTCCCTGCAACGTATGATCTGCTGCTCACCAAGTCACGTGTGTCATCAGCATAACATGACGTCACAGAAGCGGTGGATCGCTTATTCTCTGACAAAGAAAAGAGCAGCGCAAGCGAAAATTTGGGTAATTCAAATTTCTTGTTTTGGAAATTGCAGTTTAAACTTGCTTCATTTTGAAAAAGGTCGTTAGTTATTCTCACCCCCACAGATGATCCCAACGTCTTCCGAGTGCCCGCAGTCCTGTACCCCCCATCCGGGATGCTGGCAATCCGACAGTCTGGTCTCCTGTCCCGCGCACTGCACCTCGTCCAGCCAAATCGTCCCCGTACCTGCCCCAAACGCCGATGTCACCACTTCGGTGGGAGCCAGGTATCCCAGCTGACGACAAGCGACCTCTGCGTCCAAATGGTCCCAGTTGTCGTCGCAAATCGTCCCCCATTCTTCATTGTGTAGAACTTCCACCCTGCCTTTGTTTGGAGTGTCCCCTCCCACAAGGCGGATCTCTGTGGATGGAGGACGGAGATCAGGACAAGAGAACAGTAATGCCCTTTATTCACGACCACTTGTTTGATAAGAGCCGACGTTTCGATGACTGTGTGTCATCTTCATCATGGCAATTATGACTAGTTTAGGACCGAATATTGTTAGCAGTAACACTTGAGCTAGTAACACCTAGCTTTAGTGCACAGTGAATCAGTAACACCTAGCTTCAGTGCACAGTGAACCTACATGTATAACAGCTAGCTTCAGTGTACAGTGAACCAGTAACACCTAGCTTCATTGTGTAATGAACCAGTCATAATTGCCATGATGAAGATGACAGACGGTCATCTTGGTCTCTTGTCAAACAAGTGGATGTGAATAAAGAACTTTGGTATTCAATCATTCAGCAACCTGATGAAGTTATCTACCGGACAGAACAGTCATTATATTATGTATGTACAATGTTCCTACTTTTCAAAATTTGCCCGGGGCCGCAGCACAGCCGCACGAGCAAGTGTCTTAAACACGCCAACATTACCAAAACTAAAGCAGTAGATTATTACCTAGGGACTGAGTTACGTCGGTCGTTGGAGATACAATCGGTGTAATGCGTGGAGGCTCTGTTGAGGATGTCGGTTGTACCGTATCAGTGATTTCAACTGAAATATAAAGTTTTAAAGGTTATCAGTCACGTCATTACGTTTCTACATGTATCTGTCAAAAGGGTTTGCTCAGCCACTGGACCACTTCTGGGCACTGAACTAAAGCTCACTGAAACAGCATCTCTTATCCCTAAGTAAGTCAGCAACATCAAGCTTGATCAATTTGCAAGCTTGACCAAAGGACTCAATAGGCGAAGCGTCGAACACTTCTTGTTTCACATAGGAAAGAACAACATAACTATACTTACACGAAGAGCCCCTGCAAACTGCGTACACTATCCCGTCGCTTCCCATTGCGTCTGTTGTATGCCCGATGGCGTCAGCGCTCTCAGCGATACCTCCATTACAATTGGTGCTCAAACAGAGGTGGAAGCCAATGAACCTGCTTCCCGAACCGGCTGTTGGAAACGCCAAGCGGGCCATAGTAGACACATGGCCCCAGGGGACACAGCTGAGAATGTTATTGACGTAGACGTCAGAGTTGTACTCAGTAGCGCACCTTGCAGATGGAGGAAAAGTTAAACAGCTCGTTAAGAAATAACGCCACATGTAAGATTTTTCTTACGGAAGTAGTTGTAGAATTCCTAGACTGAAAACACAACTACGCACTTGGTTATATTGCTATTAAAACATGGTGCTTTTAACAACAGCTACTCGGCTGCAGCATGATTTGGTGAAGGTATAAGATCTTAGAACTCTAGTTATGAAATACGTACTGTTGATAACCTCCTCCCATATTATAATGATATTCCCCGCATCCGGTGGGCCTCAGACCAAAGTTGTCGCACAGATTCTGATAGTCCCTGCACCAGTTTTCGCTGGCAGACAGACCGTCAAATGGAAGTTTCGCTTCGATGATGAAGAAGGCAATGCCATGGTAGAGATAATTTTTGGCGCGTAGAACCATAAAGGCATGAACTCCTGTGGAAGGGGTAGAGAATATGAAACATGAAGCACTGGTTTACTGTGTTCTGGAGCTAGGGGTTACAACAACAACCGTTCTTGAGCTAGATGGTACTTGTAACCTAGCTTCTTGTGCACTGTGAATCAGTAACACCTAGCTTCACTTCACAGTGAATCAGTAACACCTGGCTTCAGTGCACAGTGAACCAGTAACACCTAGCTTCAGTGCACAGTGAATCAGTAACACCTAGCTTCATTGCACAGTGAATCAGTAACACCTAGCTTCAGTGCACAGTGAACCAGTAACATCTAACTTCAGTACACAGTGAACCAGTAACACCTAGCTTCAGTGCACAGTGAACCAGTAACACCTAGCTTCAGTGCACAGTGAAGCAGTGACACCTAGCTTCAGTGCACAGTGAACCAGTAACACCTAGCTTCAGTGCACAGTGAACCAGTAACACCTAGCTTCAGTGCACAGTGAGGCAGTGACACCTAGCTTCAGTGCACAGTGAACGGTTCTGAACGGTGCATGAAAGTTACTGAAAATTGTATCAATATTTAGTGCATTTTTGCATTGTTTTAAACTTTGTTTTCAAATTAATAAAATGATCCTAATGAATTGTAACATGAAGTGTCTTACCTCCGGATCCCGAACCTTGAAGGTTGGATGTAGTCAGTTTAATAGGTCCTGGAGTGGTCATGTGTACAGCTAGTAAGGAAAAAAAACTATCAGGTTATCAACTGCAAGGTTACCGACACACTGTAACTATAATTAAATAAGCATGATGACGTTTTCCTCGAGAAACTATTTATTTGGAATTAGGAAAAAATGTTAACAGCAATCTGCAATCAATCAAAGCCGACCGATAACTAGAGGAAAACCATACGGAAGGTTTCTCGTATGAATCTCCTTTAGATATTGGCCGAAATATCTCCTGAAAAGATTTCAAATCTTAAGAAAACCGTCTAAGGGTACAATATCACGTTAGAAATGGGAATTATTCTATATGATAAATAGTCTCTGTGTGCAAAGGCACAATCACATACTAGTATTTTAACGTCTTATGATTGCCAAAGGATTGGAACCTGAGCCCATTCTTAGAAGTGTCAAATGCACGTGTCCTGCAATGTTCATTTGTCTTAGATCGTTGTCGGTGTTTGAAAATGAAAATTCTACGATGTTGATATCGCACGGTGACCTATAGCTACGACGAATAACATGAACATACAAGCGTTTGGGTAAGAGGTGAAGTGAATTAAAAATACTAGCTAGATTCGTACCATCTTTTTGGCAGATGTACATGAATGCCTTATCGCAATCAGCATCGTTCCATCTCTCTCTCAGGTGTTCAGGGTGTGAGCTTGGAAAATACGTGACGCAATCTCCGTCCCGAGTTGGTTCACCGTCTCCCCAATTTGTATAATCGGTATCCTGAAGTAGTGTCCCGTCACTCCATTTGAACTTGTCACCTCCGTACCTGCAGCACAACAAGGAATGCCAAAATCATCATCAGCTAGTGAC